GTGTGTGTGTGTGTGTGTGTGTGTGTGTGTGTGTGTGTGTGTGTGTGTGTGTGTGTGTGTGTGTGTGTGTGTGTGCATATAATACATACATATACATATACATACATATACGTATATACATATAATTATATATATATATATATATATGTATCTATAATTTATATGTGTTATTTTCAGAGTCATATTTGGTACCAACTGGATCAGTAATACATATTAATATCTATGATATTCATAGAGATCCCAATTTTTGGCCAAATCCAGAGATATTCGATCCAGACAGATTTTTGCCTGAGAAAATCAGAAATCGTCATCCATATTCCTATTTACCATTTAGTGCAGGACCACGAAATTGTATAGGTAATATATATAAAATATTAATAAATATTATTTTCTTATATAAATAAATACTAATATATTTATGAATAATAGGACAACGATTTGCTATGTTGGAAATGAAAGCTATAATGGCGCCGATACTATACAATTTTTATTTGGAGCCTGTAGATTATATAAAGGATTTTCAGTTTATATCAGATATTATAACTCGTGTTGCAGATCCTATCCGAGTAAAATGTGTTCCAATCGATCGCCATTAATTTAATTTAGAATCATACAATTTTATTAAATAAGAAGAAATTAATTTTGTTTAAAAGTATTTCAATATAAAGATCACTCAATGAGGTTGTTATATTTTTTTAAATATTATATATTTACTCCTTTTGGTATAACATACTAACTCATCTTTTAATTCTTAATATATTTGGATACATTTAATATAATAATAAATATAAAATGAATAAATATATAAATACTATATATTGTAAGATTTTATTATATAAAGAAGAATAAAATACACATTATACATATTATTTAATTGTGTCTTAAATGTTGCGTTATTAAGAAATTTAAGAATGAATAAGAATTTATCAAATATAGCTTTATTTTCAATACCTCATGTTTTATCTAATAATTGAAACTGATAAAATACTTAATCATTTGTAACGTTGTAACTTCCTCGTATTTGCGCAATCGTAATCTTAATCTTTGAACTTATCTTAATCTTTGAACTTATCTTAATCTTTGAACGAAATTTCAATCTTTGAACTGTTTATATATTTATATTACTGTTGCTTTTGCGTTTCATTTAGTTTCATGTGTAAGTAAAGATTCATACAGATGTTATATTAATAGTTGTTATCCGCAGTTTATACGAACATTTTATTTGTATTGTGTGTGTATCAAAAGTGTAAAGACAATTTATTATGATTATCGCTTGAGCTTTCTTTCAATGTTTCGTTATTATTTAGTTCAGTCTTATAATCACAGCAGATAGAAACGTTTTCATTAAGTATAATTTATATAAAACAAAAATAAATTCAAGTAATTTTTGAATAAGGTAAGCTATATATTATTATTAATTAAATAAAAAAAATCACATAAGTAATTTTATTACTTATTAATTTTATTATTTATTATAATTTTAAATTTAGTACTAATATTTGAATTTTAAATAGTCATATTAGATGTGCATTAATAACAATCAATAATTTTAGTTTAATAAAAGGTTGCGCTGTGCGAAATATCATAAAATATAAATTGTTTATAATTATTTCTTACAGTTATAAATTATATAATATACACAATATTATTTACATTAAATATTTATAAGTATATACAAGTTTAGAGATATTATTTATATAAATTATTGCAATTATTACCTTATTGTTAATGTAATAAAAATGTTAAAATGTTAATTGTTATTTTTTTATTGCAGTGCATTACTGTGCATTATAATACGTAATTTGTATTTTCTTAAGAATTGAAGGAAATTACATATAATTACAAAAGTAATTAAAAGAAACTTTAAATTGTTTACAAACAATGATTATTACTTTTTTTTATTATGTGTCTTTTTTATATTATTGTACTATATTCTTTATTATGGAAGATTTAGACGACTTATCAGTAAAATTCCAAACAAACCGGGATTGCCATTCATTGGCAATGCTTTAGAATATTGTACGCATTCACAAGGTAAGTAAAATTTTATAAAAATCTTTGTTTTAATAATAATAATAATAATAATATAACATTTAATTTGTTTTTGTAAAGAATGTTAATTGACAAGAATTCTGAGTAAAAATATAAACAACAAATTAATGGTGTTTAGATTATTCAATGATTTCATTAAATGATTAATACAATTCGGGCTAATGTATGTTATTAAAAATTTCTAATTTTTAATGAAATTTATTTTTTTCATTGTAATATGATTTATTAATTTTATTGATAAATGTTATATTTATTTATATTTAGAGAATAGGCATTATAAAACATGATTGCGGAGATTTTACAGTCCTCTTACTTGAATAATGCATAAAACGTTTAAACATATTATTTGTTTTATTAACAATGCAGTTTATTAAAGTTTATTAAAATTTTAGATAAGATTTAAGAAGGAATAATACATGCAGAAAAACAGTTGCATTATGTGATTTTAATGCGTAACTTATACTGTTGCAATTTTGATATAAACTACAAATTTCTATTTATATTATTATATTTTATATTTTTATTTTTTAGAAAAACTTTGGGATCGTCAACGTGCAGCCTTTAAAGAGTTTTATCCAATTTATGTCTTTTGGTGTGGTCCAATTCCATTTATTAGCATTTTCCATCCAAATGATGTAGAAGTAAAGATATAGTATCAAAATATTAATCCGTCTTTTATCAGTTTATCTTATTAATTTATAATATAATATTGTTTTTATTGATAATGATTAAAAATTAATAACTATTCATAGCTTGTTTTCTGAAAGTATATTTTTCAGCGCTGAATGAAAACTTTTCATTTAATAAAGATATTGTTATTTAAATCTTGTTTGTGATTTTAGATAGTACTAAGCAATTCAAAGGAGCATCTTGGAAAGGGTTATATCTACACATTTATGTATCCTTGGTTAGGAACTGGCTTACTTACCAGTGAAGGTATTCCAATAAATTTAACAAAATTTTTAATTTTAACGTATAAAATATTCTATATGTAACTCTTATAAAACTAATGTTTTGTGATATTTATATAATATACAATAATTCTGTATTTAAATATATATTAAAAATTATAAAATTAAAGAATGGTATTTTGAAGATTAAATACAATTATTTCAAATGTGTTCAATTATTTGATAATGTGTATGATAATATGAGGAAAGATATTTATACATCAAGTTTAACATTAACATATTGTTGTTTAAAAAAAAAATTGTATCATGTAAAACGAATTAAAGTTAGTATTAGACTTATATAATAAAACAAAACATGCATCAGATATTAAATTTTTACAAAACATGCATCAGATATTAAATTAAATTTTATGTTTTAGGATCAAAATGGCGAGAAAGAAGGAAGATATTAACGCCTGCATTTCATTTTATCATATTAAAACAGTTTGTGAATGTTTTTGTAGAAGAGAGTAACCGCATGATAAGATCTTTGAAAAATATGAATACCTTGATTATTGATGACTTGAGGAATTTTATTAGTCAACATACATTGAATGCAATATGTGGTAAAACTGTAATTTGCGAAATAAAAATATTTAGTATGAACATTCAATTGATAAGATATTAATTACATAGTAATAATTACAATAATAAATGTAACTATTTAATAATAATACAATTTTAATTAAGTAATATTCATAATCTTAAATTCGTAAAAGTTTCTACATAAAGATAGTTTCAAAGAGCTTTTAAAATAATATATAAAATAATAGTTTATAAATATTTATATCAGTTTAATATATACACTTTCAGAGACTGCAATGGGAATTTCTTTGGAAAATATGGGCGAATTCCAACAACAATATCGCAAAGTTGTTCACGAGATGGGTGATATTTTGATTTATAGGTAATTGCACATGCAAATATATGTTAATATAGGCATTATATAAAATTATTACATTAAAATTACATAAAAAGATATTGATAATTGGTTTTTATTGTTATAATTACTTTATCAGTATCTTCCTACTTGTCTTTCTTTTACAAGATACAATGATTTTCTAACCATTATATTTATTATCATAAATAGCATTGTCACTATTATACATACAGGGTGTCCGATAAAAATATATAAATATATATATATATATATATATATATGTATTACTTTTTTTAACAATACATTAATATAAGTCAAGTATGTGTTAATAAACAAGTAAATTATAGCCAATTCCTTGGCAAGCAGAATCTTGGTTACTAAATTTCTATATATAAAATAAATTCAAATAATTTTTATCAGCGGGTGATCTAGATTCGACCTCTGGCTGAGATGATATCGTTTGCAATATATATTTCCTGTGAGGAAGGTAATAAAAAGGATTTTAATCGATATCAAAGTATTTAATTATCGAATTGCTGTAGAACTGTTACGTAAGTCTGCTAAAAATAATGGCACGTGATGATAAAATTGTTTGAATTTATTTCAAATATAGAAATTTAGCATCAAGATCTTGCTTGTCGAGGAATTGGCTATGATTCTCTTGTTTTTTTTATACATTAATAACATAATTTCTTCTAACAATTTTAATGATAAGTGCGCGCATTGTACTTACATTATGTTATAATTAAAAGTTTCTATTTACTCATTATTATTATTTCAGATTGTAACATAACAGAAATGAGAAAACATATAAAAATTCTTACAAAATATATTGAAATAGAAAAATTTTTCAATAAAACAACATTTAGTAGAATTAATACAATTAATAGAATAGACCTAAAAAATATATCAAAAACTTTTTCATATTTTGGGGAAGATAAATATTAAATTATATTTACTTATATATATATTATTAATGTGATAATCATTATAGTTATAAACTTAATTTATTTTTATTTATTTATTTCCAGATATAAACTTGTATTTATTAATTAATAAAATAAAAAGAGAGTTTTTGGTATATTTTACAAATCGCTTTTATTTTATACAATTATAAGTTGTTTTATTAAAATATACTTCTAGATGGTATATAATACAGATAGTACATATTTCTAAGATAATAGTGAAAATTGAACAGGAATCTTAAAAAATAAAAGAAGTTGGAATTAATATTTAATAGAAGTAATACTTAATTAAAATTGTAAATTTATAGCAAAACTTAGCCACATCAACAATGTCATATGTTATTAAAAATAACATAATAATCATTTTAAATAACTTACTTTTTCTAATTATATCTAGAATAATGAGACCGTGGTTGCATCTTGATATGACATTTGCATTAACACCAATGGGTAGAAAACATGCTAAAAATTTAAAAATATTACACGGTTTTACCGAAAAAGTAAGTAAAAATTTAGTTAATTAAAGTTATAAAAAGTTTTTTAAGTTCAAAATCATAATAATTAAGTATAATTTATATATCTAAAATCTAATATTAGAAAAAATATTTCATATAATATAAATTTTAAATAAATATATATATATATATTTTTTTAGATTATTGCGGAAAGGAAACAATATCATGAAAGAACTAATAAACAATACTTGAAACATTTAGAAAGCGATGTAGAATTATCAAACACTGATGAAGAGATAATGGGAAGTATGTATACAAAATATTCACTAATTTACGCTATTTAATTAATTTTTTAATGTTAATTCCTAATTCATTTTATTAATTTTATTAATTTAAGTTAAAAAGAAGCGAAGCGCTATGTTAGATCTTTTGATAGCGGCCTCTTATAACAACGAGATAAACAATTCCGACATTAGAGAAGAAATCGATACTTTCACGTTTGAAGTAAGGATTTCGTTAAGTTTTCTTAAAAATTAATAGATCATCAAAATCCGAATCAAGATATATATTCTGAATCAAGATATATAATTTTTTAAATATGTTATG